ACCGATTGTCAAAAGATACAAAGCCAAAATGAAACTTTATATCTGAGATATTTTTCCTTCTATTTCTTTTATTTTTTACAACTAATTGACACAGAATTGTTACTGGAGAAAACCAGAATGAACATATTACGTCAACATTTGATGAATAACGTGATTATGAACAATAAATAAGCATAAAAGATAAAGTGCAGATAAAGTACAAGTTTTTCACTTTTTTTTCTGACAGTGATAATAATGGTCATACAAATGAAAATGATATTTCAAAAAAAAATATGTAAAAAAATTATATTATAAAAGACAGCCACGTAAATAGGAAAGCAGTGTAGAGCATCAATGAACCAAATGAATACAGCTGAACAACAACAGCCAACAGCGATTAGTGCTGTACAATTCACCAAAGAAGGAGTCAAGAATTTTAGTTAAACATTATTAACTGAACAATTTTCACTGAACACTGTCAGCAAACATTGTTAAATTAATAATGAATAAATTTGGTGGTTTCAACGATAAAGATGAAGGAGAAAAGTGGGTGTCGGAGACAACAAACGGCAACAAAAATGCTGTTTTCATGCTTTCTTTCCTCCCCTTTCATCCCCCTCCCACAATTCTCGTCTATGCCATTGCTATCAGAAGTTTTCTCTCCTTATTTCTTTCGAACAATAAACGATTAAAAAGTTGAGACAAGTGGAAAACCTGAAATTGCTGTCAAAACTATGTTAAGCTAAACAGAAAAAAAAGAAAAAAACAAATTATCGTCATCGACTTCAAAACTCAGGAGAAGCGAAGAAAGTAGATGAAGAAAAAAATGGATTAAAAAAAAGAGAGGTTGAGTAATGATGGGCAAGTTTTATTTTTTGGTTTTTGTTTTTTTCAGTGTAGAATTGTCAGTTTAGAATCTTAGTTGTCGTTTTAAAGAAACTGTTGATGTATCTCAACACCTATTGCTGTACCAAAAAAAGCGAAAGGCTGACTCCTTTTAGGTTGTTATAGTACCAATTATTTGAAAAGAAATTAACAAGGGCATAGTGTTGTTTAAATAAAAAAGTTGGAAAAATCCTATTAGTTTTTTGGTCAGCAAAAAATCATTTCTGTTTTTTGATTAACAATAGAGAAAAAAAATTGTCTTGGACATCAAAAACTTTCAGCAGTTTTTTTGTCGCTAAAAAAAGCTTCTTCTGATTTGGTTTTTTTTATAACTTTCTGCCATTTATTATTTTTACTTGTAGTTAATCTGAAAACCGGACTATAATAGTTTTTTTACACCTTCTAAAATGAAAATTGAAAAGTTACGTGATAATAATTTATTACCGTTGACTGATATTTGAAAAGATTACATCGTAATTGTGTCGATAGAAAATTTGTTGAATTAAAAGCGAATAGCAGGCAGAAAAATGAAAACCTTATTTTTGCAGTATTTGGCTAACTTTTTGTTGCACATTTACAAGAAGTTTTTATCTTATTTCAGATACAATTTAAATACCATCAATTTTTGCTATTGTACTTAACTGTATACGTAACAGTGTTTCATGGAGTGATCAATGACCTAATTTGCTTGTTTTGAAACACTCCCTCAACGTTCGGTTAAGCTTCTAGCAAAACTTACTACAACAATGATCATTGTTCAAAGATAGATGGTAGTCGACATTTCCACTGTCTTAGAAGCTTTGTTCCAGCAATTTTTGATACAAATATGTCTGTTTCCTTTACTCTGTTCTTTTCCTTTTTCCTTTTTTTTTGCAAATAGTAAATATCTTTGTCAGCAAAACTGCACATCTTTTCTTTCTTGATAAACTTAACGAGCAAAACACTTTATAATTGTCATTCAGGTGTATTTAAATGATCTTTAAACAAAGAAAAAAAGTAAAAAAAAAACAATGGATAGAAAATTGATAATATTTTTGCTATTTGCTTCACTGAAAGCATCAATATATACATTTTTCTTCTTGCAAACATTTTTATTTATAACTTTTCTTTTGCTTTAAACAAAAAAAAAATCTAGGTTTTTATTGTTGACGATCTTTTCGGTGCCAGCTAACATCAGTTTCCTGTAGAAAAAAAGTAAAACAATGAAAAGCAGTAAAAGACGTCAGTTATTTGGTCGAACAAAGGCATTGTACCGCAACTGCTGTGAAAGATATACCAAATTCTTGATAATTCAGTTTTTAAATTTTTATATAGACCATGACAAAATGGCAGAAAAAGAGAGGAGTGAACAAAATAAGCAAAAACAAAAAACGCTCTTCTTCTTTTTGCTCTAAAAATCATTTTCTAATGCAGACAAAAGAACGGAAAGAAAAAGAAAAGAAAGAAAAAGATTATCACTTTAGGTGAAAAAAAAGTTCATTCATTTTTGTTCATCATAGTAAATCAAATTATCTTTTTTTTTGTTGATCACCGTCCACATCCAATTATAACGATGATAATAATACTGATAATGATGGTCAAATCCAACTGTATTTTGGAAAACAATGAATAGTTTCTTTTCGATCATAGATCAGCATCGGGTGAAATAATATTTTATAAGCAGAAAAATTTTAGTCTCAATTTATTCACTTAACAAACAACAACAGCACCAAATCACTGAGAAAAATCTGACTACATTTCGACAATAGTGAATAAATTTTCTCTTTATTAATTTTTAATCATTTGATTTATTTGTTTTTATTTCTTTTCTTTCTTGCTTAATGATAAATTTTTGAAAATAATATCAACATTATTTTGCACATGGTTTCAACGAGACTTTATAAAGTGCACAAGTTTGGTAATAGGTTTTTAACTTACATTTAACTCAGCAATCATAAGTATTCTACCACCCATAAACATCTGTGATAACGTCAAAATGATCAGCTTCAAGATTTATGATCTGAAGCTCGTGCTTATATTCTTCAGTTTCCTCAGATATTTAACAAATTTACAGCAGTAATTTTATTTCAGTAAAAATTCCATCAAATTTCCAGATGTCAGCGATAAAAAATTTTAGGTTACACAGTGCACTTTAGAAGAAAATTAAGCAAAAAATATAAAATAAAAAAGAAAGATAATTCCATATACATTTAATAAATAATTGACTTTGAAATTTGTCAAGTCAGCGATGATTTGTGACAGACCATTTCAATGCCCCGTATCAGTTGAATAACCTACAGGTCAGATTATTGTAAAACTTTTCGTTCATTCATTCATCTGTGTTTTTTTCTTCTCTTTCTTCTTCTTCTCTTTCTTCTTCTTCTTCTCCTTCCTCTTCTTCTTCTCCTTTCCTTGTATAAAAAATACTTCACCAATCAATATCACTAATTACCTTCAAATTCAAATATTGAACCCTGCAATTTTTTTTTCCTACATCAATTTAATTAGTTTTATCAGTTCACTAGAATTACAGTGATAAATCAAAATTTATTCTGAACAAAGTTTTGAAGGTAACGAGGTATACATACGGTTTTCAAAGCATATCTTTAAACTGCTGATAAAAACTTATGATTAATATCTTTTTTTTTTCCTTTTAGTAGCTTTCAATTATCCAGTAAACCAGAACACTTAACAATGAAAATAAAAAAATTTTCTTTCAAAGTTCTTGATGCTGTTAAAAAATCATTTGTATTTAGCGAGCAAAGATGAGTGAAAATATAAGACAAAAAAGATACTTAATAAAAATAGTCTAAATTATATTCTCAAATAAATACAATGCTGGATATGCAAATTTTGTAAGCTATAAACTGAAGTTTCTTTTGACAGCCTAACAGTTCCTTACTTTCATAAAACATGTACTAATAATTAAATATCTGCTTTTTACTTCTTCTTTTTTCTTCACTTCTCTAATACTCTCAGTTAGTCTTTTTTTTTTTGCAAAAATTGTTTTTCTTACTAAATACTATAAACCTGTTTTAGCCTCGTTCGCAGTGTTAATGAACAAAATATATTACAGTTAATGTTGTTCACCAGATTAGTAGCGGCATCTGGAGCTGTAAGCTTCCTCTGGATTCCTGTAATTATGAACTGAATCATCTCTAGGTAATTCGTCAAGACGATACGGTAAAGATCTGGAGTACTTTGGTCGACATTTATAGAATACTACATGATCGGTGTGCCGAGTATTACGAGTTATCATTTGGCATACATAACAGGCAACCAACGAGGAGCAACAAGTGATCACGATAAGAAAGATGCCAAATAGTAACCACCTGAAAACCAGTAAATTTAGGCAAACATTTATCTTTATTGCATTATTACATTCGTCAATAACCACAGTATCTTGGTCGTTTGACAACAAAATGAATGTCTGTTCAATATTTCAGATGTATTTTAAATACATTACATTCTGTTTAATACGATTATCAGTCAAGAAAAATAATTTAGATAGATTTATATACATATTTAGCACTCATAAATCAAAAAAGACAAGTATTTTACATCTAAATATTACTAATCATTTCTGTTCCATTTTCACATTTAAAGAAACGATATAGTTATAAGTATAAAAAATTGTTATTTTTCTACTGAACCTGCTTACCTACATACAACTGCAAGTGCAGTATTAACAATAAAGTGTGATTTTTAAAAAATAGTATAAAATGATAAAATTTTATAGCTGAATGATAGAGATCTTGGCCAGAACTTGTGACCACTTAAATCGAAAAATAAAAGGGATTTTACAACAAAGTATGCTGTAGCGTAATAAAAAGCTTAAAAAACCGAATACAAAACTTTCCTCCAATATAACACAGAATTCTTAGCTTTTAATCACCATTATCGTCATTATCATCATCAGCTGCTGTACAACAAATCAACAACTAAATTTTTGATTTTGAAAATTGTTTAGCAGAAAAACTGTAAAGAAGAGAAAATAAAAATGTTTAAGAAAATTTGAACGAAAAAATAAAATGGAAATAAAAAGTGAACTTTAAAATGGGGTAAAAACAAACCCGATATGTTGAAGATTAACAGGTAAG